TGTGATCTCGGCTCCCTGCAACCTCTGCCTCCTGGGTCCTTGAAATTCTGCTGCCTCAGCCTCCCGAGTAGCTGTGATTATGGGCGCATACCACCATGCCCAGCTAATTTTTTGTATTTTAGTAGAGACGGGGTTTCACCATGTTGCCCAGGCTGGTCTCGAACTCCTGAGCTCAGGCAATCCACCCGCCTCAGCGTCCCAAAGTGCTGGGATTACAGGCGTGAGCCACTGCGCCTGGCTGCTTTTTGCATTTTATATATGGCTCCAGCAATCTTTGCCTTATAAAGGTATTTTCAAAGACAACATGTCATTTTTTTTTTTTTCCTTCACTTTTGTTTTATCTCTCTTTCTGGCAGTGGGGAGTCGGAGGTTATGTTTAGGTTTACAACCTCTTCCAGTAGTTAGTTCTACTGCTAGATGTCTAAGCTGTCTAAGCATTAGGTAAGTTGGTTTTTACTATTTAATGTGATTATATTGGAAATTTCAGTGAGAGTAATAGGAAGCCATAATAGGAAAATATAGGAACACCTCCTAAATATCAAAGTGGATAAATTCCCTTTGGGACAAACTACACGAGATACTCATTCTTGGAAACTTTCTTTTTTGGGGATTTATAGCCCAGAATCAGAGATCAGTCTGGAAAAGAATGTTCTCTTCAAGTTTTACCACCTTAAAGTTAACAATGCAGTATAATGAATATCACAATTTTTCAGAATAATCTAACCATCAAATGAATGAATAAGTAAATAAAGGAGAAGGGAAAACTCTCCTCATACCAATTAATAAATGCAGAAGTGATAATAAGATTAGAAAAATCATCATTTTCAACCATCATTATAATAATGAATTCAGATAAGAATCATCAATTAGGGCCAGGCACGGTGGCTCACACTTGTAATCCAGCACTTCGGGAGGTCGAGGTAGACAGACCACCTGAGGTTGGGAGTTTGAGACCAGCCTGACCACCTTGGAGAAACCTTGTCTCTACTAAAAATACAAAATTAGCTGGGCGTGGTGGTACATGCCTGTAATCCCAGCTACTTGGGAGGCTGAGGCAGGAGAATTCCTTGAACCCAGGAGGCGGAGGTTGTGGTGAGCAGAGATCCTGCCATTGCACTCCAGCCTGGGCAACAAGAGCGAAATTCTGTCTCAAAAAACAAAAAAAAAAAAAAAAAAAAAAAAGTAGTTACAAAGTGGGTCTCCACAAATTGCTTTTTAATTATATAAAGGAATAGTAGAAACTTTTGAGTGAATTTGGAGAACATCACCTTAACCAAGAGTCGAAGTTCATTTTGCCATTGAAGGGATAAACTAACATCATGTACCTCTTGATGTGTTACACTGATAATACAAAGTCACTCATGTTGTTCTTCCAAAAATGTGTAACATCAGTCTAATCATAAGAAAACATCAGAGAAACCCAAATCGAGAGATTTCTATAAAATAGCTGACCAGTACTCCTCAAAACTATCAAGGTTGTGAAAGCCGAAAAAGGGCTGAGGAATATTCCAGATTTAAGTAGACTAAAGAGACATGACAACTAAATGCAAAATGGGATCCTGCAGTGCATCTTGTTCTAGAAAAAATGAATATATAAAAGACATTTTGAGAATAATAGGCATACTATGGATATAAACTGTAGATGAGATAATGGAAATGCATCAATGTTTACTTTTCTGATTTTGTTACTTATATAATAATTGTATAAGAAAATGCCCTTGTTATTAGAAAATACACATTGAAGTACTTAGGAGTAAACCTGCATTATTTTGGTAACTGGCTTTCATATGGTTTAGAAAAAAATCATATACATTTGTGTGTGTATTTGTGTAGAGAGAGAGAGAACATGTGCATATAGCAAAGAGAATGTAAATGTAGTAAAATGTTAACAACTAGTGAATCTGGGTGAAGGGTATGGAAGACTACTCTTGCAACGTTTTTGGAAGTATGAAATTATTTCAGAATCTAAGGTAAAAATAAAAAGAGCACCACAGAATTATTGTACAATTCACTGAGCTTGAGGTGGGGGACAAAAAAGAAAGATTTCAAATTAAAGAATTGAGGGCAAAGCCCGAAAGTTAGTTTATGCCACAAAGTTGATATAAAACATGCTGAAATTTTAACATACCTGAACATAGAGATATTCGAAAGCAACTGGATCTCTCCTTAAAAGGTCAATGGGATCTTTTGGGACGAAGCTAATTCGAAAAAGACATCTCATCTTATGGGAGCTGGGCCTCTGTGTCACCTGGAAGAGTAGACCAATCACATAAGAACCCCCCAGTGCTGACTGAGAAATGGCTGAGGGACACTGAAGCAGTCAACTTTCTTTGGACACTCAGGAAAGAATCAGTGGATATTCTTTTAGTATTTATGATAGATGCTCATTCCCTGAAAACTGCACATAACTTTGCCAGTTAGATTGGGTTCCCCAGAAGCAGACCCGGAGATGAGGGTTTGTGTGCAAGGGACTTATTAAGAAAATGCTCCCAGGAGAGGCTAGTAATGGAGTAGGGGAAGCAGGTCAGAAAAGAAGAGGAAGCTAAGCAAGGGTGCCTTCTCAGGAAAGCCCAGCAGAGAGTAGCTATACCCGGGTCCTGCAGGGGACCCTGGAGTGGTAGCTATACCATGCAGCTGCCGAGACCTGAGTCAAAGGAGCACTGATGAGTCATTCATTTAGAGCTGTCCCAGGGAATATGAGTTTCCCAGTTTGGACATGATGGGCACCAGCAGTCTGAGGACAGTTCTTGGAAGAAGATCTGTAGACGCTGGCTGTTAGTGATAGCACCTCAAATCTATGTTGGGGAGTACAAAAAGAGGATCCAAAGGGACAGCAGAGAGACTGTCCAGTACAGTTTCTAATTGCTGTGTTTTTTCCAAATTAGACTCCAGACTATTGCAATGAAAACATGATAGTGTCAACCTTGGATGACATCACATTGGAAAGTAGGAAGACAGAAGTTTTGGCCCAGGCAGTACATCAGATTCTACAAGTTTCCAAACGACTCCAAACTTCTGATACCATGATGATATTGTTCCACTTGTTCAAAGGAGTTTAAAATATACCACAGTTTCTTCAGGGTTAAGGACCATGGTTCATTTCAGTTTGTTTTCCTGTTAAACACTATAATATGGTCACATACTAGAAGTTCATTTCTTAATTCCTTTTTGAATGAAAGGAAGACATTGGACTCTAAGAAAGAAGGCAACAGCTCATGGATTTCCCTTCAACACATCAACAAAACAAAATGAAAACCACGAAGCATGAACCAGCACAGTTGTGTGTAAGTACCCTTATGCAGGGGACAAATCTGGCAATATAAAAATGTTTGTGAGCTGCAATTAAAAAATTAAAAATAAAATAGCTTTGAGTCCCATGGTGTGTGTATGCATGCACATGTATGTTTTTACAGTTTGTTAACTTTGTTGAACAGAAGAATTCCAATGGAAAAAGACACCCTACTTTTACATATACGAGCATCCTGAGAAAGCTGAGCACCAGCTTTCTGGCTGTGGGCAGGCCTGCAAAGCTGAGTGGACTCATGAGACCCGAGGGCTATGAGCTGCTCATCACTGGCTGATGGTAAAGCAAACCAGGAATAAAGAAATAGGGGACTCTAAAAGGCCACTAGTGCTGGTCAGCCCTGCTGTTGTATTTCACAGTGACTTCATGGGCTATTTTGCCAGAAGGTTTGCTCTGGTGTGTTAGAAAGTCAGGAATCACCAAATCTCTGACTCCTTTAACTACTGGTTAAAACTTTTCTTTCTTGAATTTTCCATAAGCCATCTTGGGTTTACTTTTAGTATCAGAAGGTTACAGTAGTTTTGGAAAATGAATCAATGTAATGCAAAAAGGTGGCTTCAAGTCATTAGAAATGGCAGTCCATAAGAATAACACTAAGGCAAACAGAAACGATTTCTTGGAAACTTTGAGTAGTATATAAATAATATTTCATAGCAGAAGTTTAATATCAAACCACCAGAAATTCAGGTAGAGTTACTTAAAAGTTCCATTGGGGGGTTTTCACAGAAATTAAATGTTTTAAAATGATTTTGTTATTGGAACAATTATAATTTCTTACTCTGCTTTTATCATGCCTATAAATATTTTAGCAATCGATTTTTTCATATGCATTGATTTCAAAGGCATATAGCTGGTTTCTTTCAGGATATTTAAATCCATTTTCCTTTCTAGAGGTAATACTCGATTTTTAGCACTTCGCTTTTAGTTCTGATTCTATAATGAAAAATAAAGAAGGAATGATTGTTAGAAGTTTTTGTTTCCTTCCAACATTTTAAAAGAAATGCAGTAATTGGAGCAAGAAGTTTTGTTTACTTAGCATCAGAAGAGACTTTTAAAGAAACTTCGTCCAACTAAATCAGCATGAAGCTTTCCTATAAAGGCTATGTAGTAGACAAAAGTTTAGAGAGAAAGTAAAACCGGAAAGATCAAAACGTTGTGGGGGGTTTCATTAGACTTGTAGTAACTGGCTGTCTGCCCGTATCCCCTTGGCATTTATTGCTATAAGCTGATGGGTATTTACGGCAAACACCTGTGACCATTGAACACCACAAGGCAAGCCCGAATAACAAGAGGGCAGCCCACCATCAATAACAGAGTGCTGGTAGGCACATGCCCCAGCTCCCTCACCCCTCGGTGGGATACCTCTTAGGTTGTCCTACATTGTCTCCCAATGCTCTCCAGTGGACTGAGTTCCAGTTGCCCACAGTGGAAACTGGCTTGATAATACATTCTTTTTTTTTTTTTTTTTTTTTTTTTTGAGACAAAGTCTTACTCTGTCACCCAAGCTGGAATGCAGTGTTGTGATCTTTGCTCACTGCAACCTCCACCTCCCGGGTTCAAGCAATTCTCCTGCCTCAGCCTCCCTAGTACCTGGGATTACAGGCCCCTGCCACTGCACCTGGCTAAGTTTTGTGTTTTTCGTAGAGCTTCACCATGTCGGTCAGGCTGCTCTTGAACTCCTGACCTCAGGTGGTTCGCCTGCCTCGGCCTCCCAAAGTGCTGGGATTACAGGCTGGAGCCACTGCACCCAGCCAGTAACACATTCTTTATTGGTTTCTCAATTTTTCTCATCTCTCTTCCCAATTCCTCTGCCGGTATTTCCAGAGATCTCTTCTCAAATAAACTACATGCATTCAAATCCTTAAGTTCTGCTTCTGGGGAAACTCAGATCCAGACACTGACCTTTCACATGAGAGATCCTATATATCAGGGGTTGTGCCCCTGTAACGAAGCATAAAATAAGTCATTTATTTATTTCCAAGAATGTTTGGCACAGGTTAAAATAATAACCATTAGAAGCGATTTAAAAAATCAATAGGTAGATTTAGACTCAATAGAGGCCAGGCATGGTGGCTCATTCCTGTAGTCCCAGCACTTTGCAAGGCTAAAGTGGGAGGATCATTTGAGCCCAGGAGTTCAAGCCTGCAGTGACATATGATTATGCCACTGTACTCCAGTCTGGGCAACAGAGTGAGACTCTGTCTCAAAAAACCAAAAACCAAAAACCAAAAAAAAAAAAAAAAATTGATAGAAATAATAGGCCAAGTTTAGGTAGAGGAATATAAATCAACACAGATGGCAACTTTCAAACTTATCTATTACAAAAAGTTGGACCGAATCAAGAGAATCGGGGATATCTGCAGGACCACCCAATGTATGGGATACCAGCTTTTATATACAACAACCAAGAAGAAATTTAGTGTGACAACACTTCTTGCCACTCCATCCAGCTGGCAGCATCTGATGCGTCTCCTCCTGGTGTCCCCTCCTACCCCTCTCCCTAAAGTTCTGTCATCACTGATCTCTCCCATGGAAGAGGAATTTGTTGAAATCTCTTATACATTTGACAAAGACTCTGCTTGTGTCAGAAGAAAAGTCAGGGTGCTGTGCTGAATTCAGCAGCCGAGCAGCCTGCTTGTCTCCCCAGGGAACAGATGGGGGTGGCATCTTGGTAATCAGTAACTGGGACACATTGGTAGATCACATATTTATAGCGGGCAGGACTGGGGCAGAGATTTCAGGCTTCCAAAAATAGTCTTAAGTATGCACCCAGAATTTCAAACAACTAAATATGATTTTGGATTAATTTAAGTAATCTCAGAAACCATTTTTTTAAATAGTTTCAAGAGACTGTTGACCAAAACAGGTGAAGAGGTCACTGTAATAACATAAAATATAATTTTACAGATCTATATTCTCAATGTGTAGCTGGTGAGACTTTGAATAACAAATCTGGTTGTGAGACTGACAGTCTGCAAAAGATTGGCAGAAAGAGAAACATGACCTTGAGGTGCAAAATGCATTAAGACTGCCAGCACTTCCTTTACAGAGGATACCCAAGGATATAATTAGTACATTTATAGATTAGAGTGGGGGAGAAATCTTAGACAGGGCAACCTCTGCTCTAAACAGCAGTCTCATCACTTGAGGGTGAAATTTCACAGACCTGAGTTAGAGTCTCCTGTTCATGAAGCAAGAGTAGCTTCGTTCCAGCCCCTTCTGTCCTCTGCTCCAGCATGAGAGAGAAGTGTTCAATGCCTTTGATGGAGAGCTTCTCTTGAAGGGTTAAGATGACATCCTTACGGAGGAAACATGAACACAATGAGACCAATATCAAGACCGCCATGTTGCGGAGTCTATCATGACTGAAAAGTGTTACACATGTAGGCTTCCAATCTTGAAATTTTGTACCTTTGGTTGATTCTGAAATTTAACGCTCCAAAGATCCGAAAAGATACAGAAATGAGGCCTTGCTTCTCTTGCCCTTTTCCTGGCCTCCTCAATCATTCAAAATCTTTATGGAGTTCAAAACAGAGAGTTAACAAGGTAAATAGCTGGAGGAGGAGGTTAATATCATGTAAGCGCTTGATATAGAAAGATCATCAATAGATTGTGGAGTGTAGACAGTTGGATTCTCCTTTCTACTAAATGGGGTAGCAATTAAACTAGTTCTGAAAGTGGTCTGCCCTAAGGGTTGGAAAACATGGCCTGCATGCCAAACCTAGCTCACCATCAGCTTTTGTAAATAAAGTTTTATTGGGACATAGTCATGCCTATTTGTTTATCTAAAATCTATGGCTGCTGTTGTGTGTTGCATCAGCAGAGTTGAGTAGTTGCAACAGAGACTGTGAAGACTGAAATATCTGCTTGCTGACCCTGGCTTACCCTTCTGAAAGAGCAGTGTAGTGGTTGTAAGGAATGGGGGCTAAGGAAACAGTCTGGTTTCTAATCCCAGCTCTACTACCTCTGGGCAAGTTATTTAGTCGCTAAGTATCTTAGTTTCCCTTTGTGTAAACTGCGGATAATAATAATGCTTATCTCAGGACGGATATAAAGATTAAATGAGTTTACACATACAAAGCATTTATTATAACATTGTTTGGCACAGAGTGAGGGCACCATAATAATATACATATATTTATTTTACATCTCTGGGGAAGGTGGAATGAGCAAGCTTTGTCAGCAATCTTTTACAGGATTAAGCATTTATGATCAGAAGGGTGTTCCATATACAAACACACACATTTACTACAGTGTAAAACTAATCTCTTCAACCTACACTTTTTTTTTCATGTACTTGAAAATTAGTAAATGATCCCTCGAGGATAATTTAGACTCAGATGCTAAAAGACCTATAGGGAAGTTTTGCCCCACTGCAACATTTGGAAATATATGGAGACATTTTTGTTTGTCACAGTGGTGTTGGGGCACTACTGCCATGGAGTGTGTAGAGGTCAGAGGTGCTGCTCAGCATCTTGCAATGCAGAGACAGATCCACAGTGAAGAATGATTTGGCCCAATATCTCAATAGTGCCAAGACAGAGAAATCCTGACATACTTAGTTTTCTTTTACCGACTTTTCTGATGTTTTGATCCTTCTCTGTGGTCCTTTTTCAGTTTCTTCAGGCCCCATTAAGTCAAAGATCCCAACATACCCCCAGTCCTGAACAAAATCATTCAACAGAAATGTTGAATTAAAAAAAAAAAAAAGATTTCTCTGCTTTATAATTTTCTCTTAAAGCCCAGGAAAGAGGAAACAAAAGCAGGCTTTGTGTGGCAACACATACTTTAGAAAGCATTTTCTTGAACCACCTGGGAGGACACTGGAAAATCAATAGCAATAGTTTTTTCCTATTGTAATTCTGCAGCAAGAATTTTGGCAATTTTCATTACACAGTGTCATATTCCTTTCATAACTATACTATTTTTATTTTATACCTACCAGCCAGTGTCTACTGTAATAATAAGGCTGTTAGGTACAAGATAAGATAACCTGAATTTGATGTGAACTCTTTGCATTGCTTCCTGTCTTCTCCTTGTCATCTGCAATCCTCAGGGAAATCAAACTTAGTCTTGCATACGTTCTGTAATAAAGAGGCTGGAGGGAATTAACAACAGGACTTTCTTAAATGTAGATTTATTTCTGTTAAGAAATGCATTCAAGTCTTTACCTAGGTCATCAGGCGGGGTAGGGAGTCCAATGGCAGGGAGGTGACCAGTTGGCAACACACAACAAGGCCATGGTGTCAGAGAGAGTTGTAATAATGTAGCTCTGTGGGTTATTTCAGAGGTCTGCCAACTATGACCTGTGGGTTATATCTGGCCATGACCATTTGTTCACATATTGACTGTGAAGTAACAGATTAACCTTGCTTAAAGAAAAATTTGGTCTTCTGCTCCCACTCTTAGGAAGTAACCTCTAAGCTCTTGGACTGTCCTGTCTGATAGGAGTGTTTTTGTTTACTAGGTGGCCTTGGGCCATACCCGATAGTCCATGCTAACAATTGATTTATGGCGAGAACCATTGGGCCATATGGTATCAGCTCAAAATCTGGAGAGACTGGATACTAAGGTCAACCATGCAGGTGGGCAGCTGTGTCTATGTGGCAAACTCCCAATAAAAACTCTGGATGCTGAGGCTTGGGTGAACTTGGCAGTACTTCATGCATATTGTCATGCATCATTTCTGGGCGAATTAAGCACTATCTGTATGAATCCACTGGGAGAGGACATCTGGAAGCCTTCCACTCAATCTCTCCTATCCCCTGATGATGAGCCTTTCCCCTTGCTAATTCTATTCTGTATTCTTTTGCTATAATATACTGTAATTGTGAGTATAACAAATTACTGAGTTCTGTGAGTCCTTTAAGTGAATTATCAAAACTGAGCATTGTCTTAAGGACTTACCAAACCCACCTGTTCATGGCTGCTTTGCCGATACAATGACAGGGTTCAGCAGTTGAAACAGATATCAAATGGCCCACTAAGCCTAAAATATTTACTATCTAGCCCTTTCCAGAAAAAGTTTGCCTGCCCCTGGGTTAGTTGCTCAATAATTACATTAAAATCCCACCACAAATTGACAATGAATAAGAAAAATGGGAAGAAGATCTTTCCAGTCATTGCCATTTAAAATTAGAAGTCTTGTACATAGGAAGTTAATATTTCATCTGGAATGATTTAAGGATGATTTTGTGCTCCAACATCAATCTAATATTTTCCACTGCATGACCTACTAAGCCACTATATACTTAGAGCAATTCAAAACAAGCCCCTTGCTGGTATCATGACAATAAGAATACACAGTGAGTGGGTCTTTGTAGAAATGCTTCTACATGTGAGGTCTATGCTGATTAGTTTAAAAAACACACAAGAATTAGAGGTTGGCTATAGATAGACATTTTTAAACAGAGAGTTGATATTCTCTTGATAGATTATTGTACAGATCATCACTAGGTACTCTTTTACCTTCATAAAATCTTTTTTACTGTGCCATTTGAAGAAAGCCTATTTTAGGTTGATGAAGCATTAGGGAGCAATCAATTTCTGAACACACTGTTGTCCAATTAAAGGAAGAGACTCTGCACTTTTCTTTTCCAGGAAGAAAGCATGGGGGGAAAATCCCCATACGCTTTGCTATAATACCTATTATGTAAAACTCATCTGTGGCTCTGAAATAATAGGATTGCTTTGTGAGTCTTCCTTTCTAGCCCTTCTTCTAAGAAGCAGGCCTCATTTCTGCCTCTTTATGCATCATTACCATGAAATTGGTTACAGAAATTAAAAGTAAATGTTACCTTTACATTAGCCTACCCTTGTTTTTTACTGGACACCAAAGTAGCAGATATTCAATTAATAGCTAACATCTTAATCTTCTGAGCAGCTGATATTGCTGAGAAATCATGCTGGCTTTGGGCAGGGTGCCAAGGGTTCTTGGTGATAGTCACACTATTTTAATTAATCTGTAGTTGCATTAAAATGACTGGCTCTAGTGTTTCTTCACTGACAGCGTATTATATTGTTTTGCAGCACCAAGAGAAATAAAAGAGCAGAAGCTTCTTAGTTTAAGCTTTTGGTTTTTGTTTGGTTTTAAGTATTGACAGACTACATTGTATGGAGGCAATCAACAAAATTGCAGAAATAAAGGGGTTGTTCTGAAGGAAGATGCTGCTACAAATGGCTCACAATATCCTGCAGGTTGTACCTGAGAGAGTCCAGGGACAGAGTTTAGCTGCTCATCTTACCTTAATGGAAGTGCTGCAGTCAAAGCGAAATGATTTGGTCTGCCCATTTTCCAGATAGACTTTCAAAACATTTGGCATAAAAAGAAGCGAGTTGTCCTTAACAGTTTCCTGTTTAACAAAAAGAAGTGGCGGGATGGGGGGCATAAGTCGATCAAATTAGAACTATTCTCTTTGCAGTAGCAGCATAGCACATCTATACTTTATTTGAAGCGTGACATTAAAAAACAAGCTCTCTAAGGCCAACCAAGGCATTCCTTTGGTGACATGTGAGTTCAGTTGCTCATAGCAAAATACATTTGCTCATCAGAAAGTCAATCAGATGAGTTTTTTTTTTTTTTTTTTTAACTCAAGATCCCCACTGGCAAACATGATTACAGACATGATTCTTTCGTAATTAGGCTTTGACATTTGGAACTATAAGCCCAGACCTAAGCAGGGCAGGACGTCTTCAACAGAACAAAGACCAGAAATGATGCTGTTTGATAGGGTACTGTTGGTGCCTAGCAGTATCACGATGGTGAGTCATGAGCATCAATACACTTCAAGTATAAAGTTATTTTGTGAAACTATTTTCACCCAGTTAGGGATGGTTCTTAAACTCCAAGGAAAAATAGAAGGAATGGCTTATTGTGTTAAGGGAGTAAAACATCGTCTATAACAAACAAGATCATAATCTAGAAATAACTCAAAAAAAGAGGCCAGCTAGAAACATGACAAAAAGGAAACAATAGAAATGGTATTTCTTTGCATTTTTTTTTCATTGGAAGTAGTGAGAGGTGAGAGAGAAAAAAGAGGGAGGAAGAAGGCACACTGAATGAGTTCTATAAATCCCAGGAGTGAGCTGAGTTATTCACACATAGTTGGTCATAAAGTCCCAGGAGTTGTGGAGAACTCAGCAGTCACGAGCGCACACATCCCTTGTTTTGCACATAAGGCAAATGAAGGCAAGATGTACAGGCATTTGCCAGTGTCAGAGAGAATTCAGTCCCTAAGTACTTCCATAATGGGCCTCCTGCCTTTCACTTCCAGTTTCTTGCCCTGAACTTCCTCCCTCTCCTTTCTGCTTCTGTGGACCTCCTGCAAAGCCTTGCTTCTAATTCACTGAATAAGTCTGAATCCCAGTCCAGAAGAAATGGCACTCAGTGACTCAGAAGAGCAAGGGTAAACTGGAAATAAAGACAGTCACAAAGTCTGAGGAGCATAGATGTGACTGAACATCACTGCCATCCACACATCAGCTGCCTTGCAGGAGTCCTGCTATATTCGCAGATGAACTGACACTGTTCTAGCAGCTTCTAGAATCATATTCTTTCTAAAGATGCATAAACTATCTGGTTGCCCAATTACATGCTTGAAAGCTCCGGGCAGAAAAGGTAAGTTTCAGATGACTTTCTGCTATATATTGATTCCTCTGTACCTTCCACTCTTCAGCTGGGACAGTCTTGTTGCAAATTAATAATGTACAGTGACCGTGCATCCAGAGTGATATGACCCATTGAGGGGCACAGAACAGACCACGCTCACAGGGCAGCACTGCCATAGCCTCCAGCCTTTCCCACAAGCATCACAATAGCTGGACCCCAAGTAGAGCAGCCCTAGGTCAGTAAGTTTTTATTCAAAGACACTTGGAGTATGAGTGCCTGGCCCAGGATGTACAGGCCTACATCTGCAGATTCAGATCCAGAACCAACCTCAGAGAAGAGCTGGTGACTAATAATGAACATATCGTAGGTGAGATTTTATCTTCGTGGATTTATTTAAACAATATCAACAGACCACCAATGCTTTGGCATTTCAAAGGTCCAAAAATTATTAGTGCCTTGGATAATAATTTTATAAAAACTAAAAACACTTCAGTATATTTTTAGGAGAAAAAGTTGAAAAGAAAACATCCTGTTGATAATTGCATTATTCATTTTGAAGATCAATTAAGTGCCTGAGTGATCATGATTTCTATCAGGACCTATTTATGGATATGTGGGCAGTATTTCTTTAGTTCTGGTTGCATACACAAAATCTTTCCATCATTTTAACTTCTTTGACTGATTAGTTGAAAGATTAGCCTTTTCTAGCGAAGTAAAAGGGGAAACAAAATACCTTTCTCAAAAATACATAAAGCACTGTCATATGGAAGAATGCTTAGTTAGCAGAATGGGAAGAAATAGGTGGAAGTTTCAAAGGGGCACATTTTACTCGTCTGAATGAGGCAGTGTCAGTGATCCCAAATCATATGAACTCCTTTGCAAAGTAGTGACGTCTCTGATGCTGGAAGGATTCTATGAAATCCTGGACTACCGCATATTCTGACCATGCTAGAGGAGATTCAGGCCCAACCTGATGATCTCTCAAGACTTTTACACCCTTGAGATTTGACACCTCTGTAAAAGCAACTACCAATTTCAGATCAATCATCCCAGTGGGACTACTGACTTTGTTTGAGTGCAAAGCTTCCGCCTCATTGACTCTTCCTGAGTCACAGAGCCGGCGGCTGTAAACTCACCGACACTTGGCCGTTGATGATGACCTCCTCAGAGAAGCGTACTTTGACTGGATTGGACTTTAATCTTGCCTTTTTTGCAGCACTAATAAATGCTGATTTGGGAGACTAGAAGAAAAGAAAACATTTTATCTTATTACTGGTAACATAATGCAAACCTTGTAACAGTTGTTGTTCATCTTTATCCTTCCAGGTATGCAATAATTTTGCTAAAAAATAAAATGCTTGGTACATGTCCGATTCAAGGACAAAATGCGTATTATAGATGCAGTCAAAACTCTGTCAAGCCTATAAGTTAGTAAGTTTGATTTAGCCACCAGATCCGAACTACCACCACCATATTCCATGTTTTAACTGAGCACATTTCCAGGGATCTTTTAAAACAATGGCTGCAAAAGCACACAACTCTTCTTCCAATACAGAGCTTTGAGCACAGCGTGCAAGGTGAGGTGGTAGCAAAACTAATGTTGGGTTTATGATGAGTTGATCATTAATCATCTATTTTAATGAGGTGGAGAAGAGTCATTGATAGTCCTAAAATGATTCATAATCCCATTGTAATTCACATTAAGGACATATGGGTACGTGAGCAGACGAGTACACACATGCATGTTCACACACACACACACACACACACACACTCTCTCTCTCTCTCTCTCTCTCCCTCTCTCTCTCTCTCTCTCTGAAGCCCTCATGCTTTATGTGAGTTTTAGCCTCTTCTTGGTAACCTGTCATCCTATGATCTTACTGGCCAGGGTAGAGATGAGACCTTTCCTGGCAATTGAAAGTTGACTTCATATTCTTCCTCATCTTACGTGCTCTTTGTGCTTTATGATCCTCTCCCTTCTTTTATTGGAAAGAGGGGCCATGTGGCACAATTCTTCCTCAGAAATTGGAAGTACAACGGGAGAACCTGCTTAGAAGGGTGCTGTGATACTGGGGCACCCCTTGCAGAATGATCTTGGTAAAGTCACTTTATCTGAGAATCATCATTGGTACATAATTTTCAAGAAGCCTAAAGGGAAGGGAAGTCACATCTAGTAGATTTTTTACTATGTTGCAGGCATCATTTATTTATTTTTAAAAAGAATTACATTCTCTATGAAACCTAATACAGAGGTAAATAGTTGGAATCATAGGATTGTTATTTTATAAACCAAAATGGTCAAATTGGCAATGGCCTATGGTTCAAACTCATGTTTTCCATACTGTATAGTCTTAAGACATTGAGGCTGTTGCATAAAGAATTCCAGTAACTGACTCTAGAAACAACACAGAGGCTTAACCCTCTATTTATTGTACCAATCTAGAGGCACCAAAGACAACTAGGGTGACCTACACTTTGGTTTTCAAGTAAAATGAATTTTAAAAAGGACTCTCATCCTTGTCAAATACAAGTATACTTAAGATCAATTAAATTTTAAAAGCAACATGATGAAATAGATAAATCAAATGTAGTCCATCTATACAATGAAATATTATTCAACCATAAAAAGGAATGAAGTTCTGACACATGCTACAACATGGATGAACCTGGAAAATATTATGCTAAGTGAAAGACAGCAGACACAAAAGGACACATATTGTGTGATTCCATTACATGAAATGTCCAGAATAGGCAAATCTATAGGGACAGAAAGTAGATGAGTAGTTAACAGGGCCTGGGGGTGGGGAGAATGAGGGAATGATGAATGATGCTTAATGAATACAGGGTTTCTTTTAGGGGTGATGAAAAAATTGTGGAACTAGGGAGTGGCAATGGTTGTACAACATTTTGAATGTACGTAATGCCACTAAATTGTATACTTTAAAATGGTTAAAATGGCACATTTTATGTTATGTGTATATTACTATAAAAAAGCTGTTGAAAGAAGTATGATAAAAGGTGTGTGTGGGGTGTGTGTGTGGGGTGTGTGTGTGTGTGTGTGTGTGTGTGTTTCTGGATGGAGTTTTTGCTTTAATACCAAGAGAACCCTGTTCTTTCTAAAGTTCCCTTCCACACTTATCCCATCCTTGCTATGAGTAGTGTCTTTGAAGATGGCATAGATGGATAATTTGTCCGCCAGAGCTTGAATTCATCCATTTATGCAAGA